GATTTTTTAATTAAATTGACCTTGTGATTTGTCTTTTACAATACCATATGTTAATACCATTTCTATCTAAAGCTCAACATATCATGAAGGAAAGCAATCTTAGTAGGCAAAAATAATTGTCATTACGACTACTACCCTAGAATCCATGACCATTCTCAGAAGAGTCTTCAGGACCTCATTCTGAATCTGTCTGTGTTTTGTTATAGCAATTTGTTTCTGTTACAGTTATAGCAATTTTCACAACGTGGCTTCCAAACTTGTAACAGATCAGAATGGTGTTAGAAGAGCAGCCGCCTCAGGTGGCATGCTGACAACAGCACTAAGTGACCAATGATTTCGTATCAGCAAGGAAGGAAACAGAAAAATGTAGAGGGAAAACTTAAATACTTCAAAAAATAGCAATAAGGAGTCATTTAGAAGAGTCAAACAGTCTCCGTATTTTTTTTAGAATGCAGGGAGGTTAGAATATATCTTAGAAAATTTTCTACATAAAATGATTAATATAAAAAAATTTTTGATGTTTGTAAGGCACACTGTCAGCTGTCCTTAAATATCTCCACCCATCCATCCATCCATCCATCCACTAGACACTGTATTTAAATTGAACCCAAAATCCACGGAGTTTGCATTCAAGTGGGGAAGAGAGACATATAAATCATCACCACATTATGACAATATAATTAATGCCTGGCACATGTAGGCACTCAAATGTTTGTTGAATGAACGAATGAGTAAGATAGGTAAAATAAGGATGTAAGACAGATTAATTTAATGAGACTGACATGGGGGTAGGAGTAGCAGAACCTAGAAGAGGGATCTTAAGCTGTGTTTTTTTTTTTTTTTCTTTTTTTCTTTTTAATTTATTTCTTTGGCTGCACTGTGCAGCATGTGGGATCTCAGTTTCCCCACCAGGAATTGAACCCTGGTCCCTGGCATTTAGAGCACGAAGTCTTAACCCCTGGGCCACCAGGCAAATGCCTTAAGCTGTGTTTTAAAGACTGGAAGAACATTTGAGTGATAAGGAGCAAGATGTCTGAAGGCAAGATGGTGGAAAACGTGTGCAGATACAGGAATGGTAGATGGTGTTAGATTGTGAAGAGCTTTGTGCACTGAACTAAAGAGTTTAGATTTTTTCCTGAGTACTATGCAGAAACTTTGAAGCAGTGGAAGCAGAAGTGCCCCCTGATTAGACATTTGCTTTAAGAAGATCACTCTAGGATAGATCACAGGACTGGAATGGGAGAGTCCAGTCAAGAAGTCCCTGCAGTAAAACGGAAAAAAAAGAGCAGTGAGAGCCTGAAATGAGACTGTGGCAACTTCGATAAAAGAGAAGGTGACTGAGATGAAAGAAACTGGTATGAAGAGAATTTAAAAACTGATGTGGGTATGACTGGACGAAGAGAGAAAGGAGAGTGAGATAATCTCTGAATTTCTGGTTTTCACTGTGAGAACATGGAGAAGCAGCAGCTGAACTGGTTGTGGACATGCTGAGTTAGAGATGCTGAATGGGCCTGAATAGTTGACCTATAAAGGATGCTTCATCCTCATTCAGGTCTCTCATTATTATTCTCCATATTCCTTTTTGCACTGTAAAAATAAAGAAGAAAAAGACGGCATAAAAGTGAGGAATCTATTCCAAGGACACAAACTGAAATTTGCTTGCTTGTTAAACTGAAAACAATAGAGAGATTTATCTTAACAGCTAACTAATATATAAGCACTTTCTGCAGAAATAGGAAAATATTGTTTAGTTTGGGGATCTAGACATTATTTTCTTTGCCACAGAAATAAACTACTCCCCATTTCTCTCCTGTTCTTTCTGATCTATTTTTACAAAGTCACATTTATGTGCCATCTGCAAACCAATGAAATTTGCTATTCAGATTTTCCTAGTTGTCCATGAATATTCTACTTCTATTTACAGATTCTTAGATCACATTTTAATTGATTAAAAATACATAAAAGGTCAAATGTACATTTTCCCATCTATAAATCTTTGTCTAACTTGATTTCCTATGCTTGTATTACCCCATTCCCTTGCCAAGAATTAACATCCCTAAGGAAACAAGTTCTATTATATGCGAGAATTCTGATAAATTTGCACAATTGTTTTCTCTTCTAATTTCCTTTTTTAGAAGAGTGCTTTTTGAGAGCACACTATTGCACATTTTCTGAAACACCTTAGCTGTTTCAGCAATTGTGAGGTTAAATGTGTCCTAAATTTGTGGTTTTCCTCAGTCTTCCTTTTCCTTCGCAGTTTGCTAACTGCTCTGAAGTGACGATATTATCTTAGTTCACTAAGACACTCCCTGTTCTTCAACAGGAAGTTCTTCCAAACACAAGGGTGAGTCCGTGAAAGACTGCTTGCCCGGGTGCCCTCCTCAGATAGCTGGTTTTCACCTTGGCTGTTCATGCACCAGGCACTTTGCCCTGGTTGAGCTGGAGGATATCCCAGTGGAGAAGAACGTCAGAAGTCTTCTGGGTTTCCTCCAACCCAAGGTGACTTTCTGTCTCTGAAGTTCAAATTAAATCATGTTGACCAAATGATAAAACACATAACAAATGAAATGTTTTTTTGAATATTACATATTTTCTATTGGAAAGACTGCCATACCCAGCATGATATTCATGTAGTTAGCATTACACTCCTGAAAACAGGCATGGCCTATCTCAATCTCATAACATAATTCCTGATGGTTAAGAGTCACTACGATGTGATTTCTTAAAATAAGTTATGATAGGAGATCCTGTGGCATCTGATTATAGCACACTGCTTATAGTATTAAGATTCTAAGTTATACCGCTATTCAGTAAAAAGGAATGAAAAACTCACTGGTGGATGCAACAACTTAATTGGGAACTCAACAAAAATGTTAATCTCAAAACTAATATATGATTTCATTTATATTCAATATGACATTTTGAAATGACAATATTTTTAGATAGAAAGGACAGATTAGTGCTTACTAGGGTTAAGGACAGAGGTGTCTATAAAAGAGCAATGTGAAAGATCCTTTGGTGTTAAAACTCTTTAATATCTTGCCTTTGGTAGTGGATATCTGAGTCAACATAGATGGTAAAAATGTATAGAACTTAATGTATACCTGCCTTCATCCACACACACGCACACACACACAAATACAAATAATACTGAGGAAATCTGAATATGATTGGTAGATTGTATCAAAGTCAATATATTTGTTGTGAAATTATAACTTCATAAAATGTTACCATGACAGGTAACTGGACAATGTGTACAAGGAATCTTGGCATATTATTTCATAACTGGAAGTGAATCTATAATTATCTCAATAAAAACTACAATTTAATGAGTAATATGAAGAATCCATAGTTTGATTATATCAATACAGGCTCATATTTTTTAATTATTATAAATTTGTTACATAAGTTATTTGTAGGTATCAGTTATTATATTAAAAATTTTTAAAGTAGATTTATATGTACTGATATGGAAACATGTTATACTGTACAGTGAAAAAGAAATAGGATGTATAACACAATCCCCAAATTATACGTATTATCTCTTTGCAAATATGTGTACTAAGAATTTAGGAAGGACAATAGGAGACAGTTCTTGGTAGCCTGCTGCTGAGACATGGGACTAGAAATAATGGGGAATGGAGGGCTCTTAATTTTCACTTTTACACTCCTGTAATGTTTGTATGTTGTTTACCATGAACAGGTATTACCTTCACCTTTTTAATTAACAGTTTACAAAAAAGATTATAGCTTAAAAACTTCTAAATCTTAATAAAATTTATGAAATACTGAAATATATTTGTAAATACGAGAATCAAAAATATCTGGAATACTTTAGGTAGTATGGTATCAATAAGTTGTCAACTAAAAACCAATGTGTTCTTCAAAAGTTGCCTCTCTACAGTCCCTATTATTTTGATGAAACCAAAAATGACTTGAAAATGAGAAAAATAATACTTTTTTTTTTTTTACTTTAAAAACCCCATGTATTTGGAAATTAAATGTCCACTTTTAAATGATGGGTGTATTTAAGAAGCCATGGGCTTCCCAGGTGGCACAGTGGTAAAGAATCTGCCTGCCAATGCAGAAGATGCAGGAGATGCAGATTCCATTGCTGGGTTGGGAAGATGCCTTGGAGGAGGAAATAGCAATCCACTCCAGTATTCTTCCCTAGGAAATCCCATGGACAGAGGAACCTGGCGGGCCAGAGTCCATGTTGCCGCAAACAGTCAGACACAACTGATCACATACAAGACCAAGAAGCTGTAACAGGAATTACTTATAAATTAGATAACTTATAGATAATATAATATATTATATTAGAAAATATTTGTAACAGAATAAAAATGAAATGAGAATTTACCAGAATTTGTTGCATGCAGGTGAAGCTGCTCAATGCAACTAAATACAATGTGGAGTCTTGAAAAGAATTTTTTAAACTAATGAAGTTGAAATATTACATGGGTGTATAAGTCTATCATTCACTTCCTAAGTATAGTCTTAATGAGGACAGAGAGCGGCAACAGGAGCTTGTGCAGTCCTGCTGCTTCTGTGCGATGGAGATGAAGGAAAATAAATCAGGGTCAGCTGTGTCAGATGGAGACAGTGCTCACAGCGGCACAGGCCAAGTGCCCGCAAGGAAGCCCTGCGAAAGTCGGAGAACATCCAACCTGCGCTGGGTGTTGGAGATTTTAACAGTCTGCGAAGGGGTGAGCAAGATGAAAGGAGGGACAGGAAAGACACGGCAACACAGAGGTGTGCCTCTGCGTGGCAAGTCACTGGGATGGGGGACATGCTAACTCAGAGAGGAGATGGGGCCCGGTTCATGCTTAAACTTGGACTTTATCCTGAAGGCACTGGGAATCCATGTAAGGATTTTTAGCGGACATACTGAAATACAATTTGCTTAGAAAGAAGACTGTGTGGAGACAGGGTGGATTGGACAGAGCACTAAGGCAGTATCCTTCTGGAACGTCGTTAATCTGTGGTTGACGGCGAAGATCACGCGACGGAAGAGCGCAGGGCAGGTGGTGGGTCGGCCGCCACCAAGGTCTGCGGCAGGTGGGGGGCAGCGGCTGACGCACCTCTCTGGGGTCTTCAGTTCACGCTTCTCCAGCCTGCAGGCTCTCCTCGCTGGAAGCGCTCCGTTTCCGTCCTCTCCTCGGTGACCGCGATCCAAGAAGTTCCCACGCGCCCCGCAAGTTCATCCAAGGCGGCCGAGCGCGTCCTGCCGGGCGCTGGAGAGTGTGCGGCCTCCGAGGAAGACCTGCCCCGGAGACCGGAATGAAGAGTTCACGCTTCCTGAAAGAGATACCAGCCGAAAGTTCCTGAGGTCATGAAACTAACGTTGAAACAGGGTTTCTAGGTCCACGCCCTCGTGAGCCAGAACCCCTCCACGCCGGCCCGCGAACCTGCGCCCGGACTGCGCATCTGCACCGCCCCTGCGCATCCCGACCCGGAGGCCGAAAAATAATACTTTTTCATTTTTATTTATTTATTTATTTTTAAAATAATACTTTTTTTAAAAGTTCCTTTGTTAAAAAAAAAAAACCTCCATTTCTTTTGCTTTCCCCCCTCTATTTCTGGCTACTCCCTCAAATAATAAAAAAATCATCATTTTTATTTTATGTCTATTTGTAGTATTTGTGCTGGGTTTTGGGGGGAAAAAGCAAGCATATGACATAATCTCTGACTTCAACATGTTGATGATATAGCTACTGGGAAATAGAGTATATAAATAAAATGTAGATACTGTACAATAAGCATTATACATAGGTATTATATATATATAAGAATTATTTAATTGCTACAGACAGTAAGTGGTAATAAATCATCAGAGGATGAGGCAGTTACAGAAGTTTCGGGAAATCCAGTAATACTTTTGCTAGCAGGCCAAAATAAATGTGGGGATTTAATCTAAGGATGAGTGGTTCAGCTCTACAAAGATTTATGTAGAGAAAAGATAGGAAATAAAATTGAAGACAAGCAGGTCAGGTCTAACATGTAGTCTTCAATGTCAGTTTGCTAACATTCAGTCTATATTTAATATGAAAATAAAACTTGGGTCAAGATCTATACAAGTAAAGCAATTGTCCTTCAATTAAAAAATAAATAAAAGTACCAAAAAAGATCTATATAAGCAAGAATATCTGAATTTCAGTCTCTCAGTCTGTTTTGTGTTCTTTCAGTTGATTAGTTTTAAGACTGTTTTGGAGTTTATGCATATTGGTTTGAAAAGTGAATATGGTTTTAGTATGTTTATTTGGGAATGGGCCCAATTATCCTGAGAGATTTATTACCCTTTTCAAATTTGTCTGGAAGCTAGAGAAAGACTTTTTTAACCTTTGCTAGGCTTCCCTGGTGGCACAGTAATAAAGAATCAGCCTGCTAGTGCAGATGTGGGTTTGATCTCTGTGTAGGGAAGATGCCCTAGAGGAGCAAATGGCAACCCACTCCAGTATTCTTGTCTGGGAAATCCCATGGACAGAGGAACCTAGCAGGCTATAGTCAATGGGGTCACAAAGAGTCAGACATGACTTAGGGACTAAACAACAATAACAGGGTATATTGTGGAATGCAAGGACGAGGGTTTTAGACTACAAATCCCAGCTAAAATATCAACTATACTGTATTAGAACTATTTTTTCTTATGCATAAGATGGGTCCTTAGATTCTTTTCCAGCTATATATGGAAGTCGAGGAGGAGAAAATGCCTGCAAGCTAACTACAAAGCTCTGGCCAGGTGCTGGGCTGTAAGCAATGATCCTCAACATTCAGATGCCATACCCACTTATCACGTACTATGTGCTATCACATGGATCTCATCCTCCGGCGTGCGGCCCATGAGAAACACCAGAGTGGGTCAGGTAATGGCACATCAGTGGCAGACCCATACCTTCTTAGGAAGTTGATTCGGCTTTTTATGTGACCTAGTCTGGTTTCACACTGAAGCATTTATTTCATGTTATTCATGGTCTTCAGCTCATCTGAGCAAACAAGTAAAAGCAGGTGGAGGGAAATCAAGCCCCAGAGTTAGAAAAGGAAAGAAAAGAAGGCTTTTTTGTCAGAATCAGAAAACACCTGGGAATTTTAATAAAGTTCCACAGTAGTAAAATCGACAAAGTATTGGAGAAGGGTTCTGAAAACAGTGCTTACTAGCCATGTGACTAGGGTCATAGAAGGAGACTTCTCTGTGTCTTATTTTCCTTAACTGTAACATGAGTGTCATGCTCTTCTGCTCCCCCATGTACTAGTTGTGAAAACCAAATCTGTGATAGGTATGAAAGCCTGCAAATGAAAGAGCAATTCTAATGGGAACTTCAGATTGATGAAAAAATAATATCTAATATTGTTCCACGTTCACTTAGTTCCCAGACACAATAATTATTATTTTTTTTTCCATTTATTTTTATTAGTTGGAGGCTAATTACTTTACATCATTGCAGTGGTTTTTGTCATACATTGACATGAATTAGCCATGGATTTACATGTATTCCCCATCCCGGTCCCCCCTCCCACCTCCCTATCCACCCGATCCCTCTGGGTCTTCCCAGTGCACCAGGCCCGAGCACTTGTCTCATGCACCCAACCTGGGCTGGTGATCTGTTTCACCCTAGATAATATACATGTTTCGATGCTGTTCTCTTGAACCATCCCACCCTCGCCTTCTCCTAGAGTCCACAAGTCTGTTCTATACATCTGAGTCTCTTTTTCTGTTTTGCATATAGGGTTATCGTTACCATCTTTCTAAATTCCATATATATGTGTTAGTATACTGTAATGGCCAGACACAATAATTAAGTGTTTTATACCCCGATTAGACCTCCTTCCCCAACTAGACACACACACACACACAAAACAACTGATGAGGTTTAGAGCAGTAACTTGCCTAATGTAACAGATTATAAGAAACAGAATCCAAACTCAAAGCCAAGGTTGTCACACCAGAAAACATACTTTTATTTTTCGGGACCTGCACAAATATGTATGCATTTTGGCAAGATGGTAATGAGTCTCCGTTATGAAACAGAGAAGAGCAGCTAACTGGAAACGTTGGAGAGGCTGGGGGCCCTGTGTTTTTTGAAGCTTGATTTGAAATGCTAATTAATGCAACTGTAAAATATATGATTAACATATATATGTATTTATGATGCATATAATAGCATTGGGGGAGTTTTGTGACTCTAAGAAAGTCACAAGATCATGAATTTCTGTGTAAATTTCTATTAGTCTGTAAGAAGTTATAATCTCTTAGAGGAAACAAAGCATTCCCCTTTGAGAAGTGTTGGCTGCTTTCTGAGAACTGTAAATTAAGAATGATGTGGTCATGTTTCTTTTTTTTTTTCTTTTTAAGGTACTGCTGTGCAGTATGCAGGGTCTTCGGTCCCCAACCAGGGACAGAACCCGCGTCCCCTGCACTGGGAATTCAGTCATAACCACTGGACTGCCTAGGAAGTCCTGCGCTTATGTTTTTTTGCTTCATATTTGATATAAAGGTCTCTCAAAATTATTTATACAAAGACACATACCTACCTTACACACACACACACTTTCACACACACAGTTTGGTGGAACTTCAATGCAGTCAGCTGTCCCTGGTTATAGATTATGATTCAATATTGTTTCAAATTGTGGTTCTTTAAATCATAAGCTTTACTAAGTACTTTTTAAATGTGAAGAAATATGCTAGGCATTGGGAATTTAGAAAAAAATAAAATCCAGCCTTAACTGTTAGGCACTTGTAGTCTGTTTGGGGAGACAACTGTGTAGACAGACAAATTACAAAGTGCAAATATTAAAATAGAACTAGGGAAAATTGCTTATGGGACACAAAGAACAAAACTCTAGTATGTCTGAGGGAGTCAGGAAGGCTTTCTATTGATGCAGGTGTTGCAAGGTACAAGGAGGTTATCAGATGAAGAAGAGAGATGAGGGCATTCGGGCCAGAGAGAACCCAGCATATGTGAGGTGGCCTCAGCCACAGGCAAGGCTTGCTTTCAGGAACTGAGAAGTGGAACTTCCCTGCTGGTCCAATGGTTCAGAGTTCGAACTTCCAAGGCAGAGGGCGAGGGTTTGATTTCTGGTCTGGGAACTAAAATCCCACATGTCATGTGGCTCACCCAAAGGAAAAAACAAAACAAAACTGCTGAGCGGCAAGAACAGAACGTGAATGAGGAACAGGCTCAAAAGGCCAGTTGTGGGTGGCCTGGGAAAGGCAGGCGCTAAAGAGAGAAAGTTCCAACCAACTAATAACTTGAAACAGTTTTATTAGGACAACAACTATACCTGAAATAGTTGCCTAAAGAAAATAGTATGTAAATGGCATGAATAGCATTCCATTATACATCACGATATCTGGAGTTTATATAATGGATGTACTCAATTTAGGTGATTTCCAGGTTGTTATTGTTTATTTGTTTATGTTTTTAGTATTATAAAGAGTGTTGCAGGTAAAAAAAATTTGCTCTTGTTCATGATTATTTTCCTAATTCAAAAGTTATGCATATTTTTAAGGCTTTATTTTTATACAGAGTGACAAAGTACACTTCAAAGTGTTTGAACCAATTTACATCTCTATCAACAATGCCTGAATATTCTTTCTGAAGCTCTAGGGAAATTTTCATTACTTGAAATCTCTTCTTTGACAGTTTATAAGTTTGTAAGTGAAAATAGTACTTTGCATTTGAATTTCTTTTATTTTTAATGAGTCTAAATCTTTTTTTTCATCTGTTCTTTGGAAGTCACTATTCTTTTGTGAGTTTTCCTAAAATCTTTCCTCCCTTTTGATAAGGTGTTTGTCTTCTCCACATAAGGATATTAACTCCATCTGTCCATAAAAATTGTGTACATACTTTTTCTTGGTGTCATTTAACTTTTTAAATTTTTCTCTTCATACATATAAATATATTACACATTTTCATACCCAAATTATAATAATGTGAGCTTTAACATAAAGAAATCTTACGCTCTCATATGGAAAAAAAAATCCATTTTTTTCTTTTTTATTCTTTTATAGCTATCCATAAAATTACAGAAAAGGTCTTGATGACCTGGATAACCATGATGATGTGGTCACTCACCTATAGCCAGACATGAAGCATTACTACAAACAAAGCTAGTGGAGATGATGAAATTCCAGCTGAGCTATTTAATATACTAAACGATGATGCTATGAAAGTGTTGCACTCAATATATCAACAAATTTGGAAAACTCAGCATTGGCCACAAGACTGGAAAATGTCAGTTTTCATTCCCATCCCAAAGAAAGGCAATGCCAAAGAATATTTA